AAGTGTATTATGCACATCTCTCTTGTCTTTGGAAGTGGAGAGCCAGTCTGTGGTGCAGAGTCCTGGCAATTTTGTGACTTCTACACAGGCTTATCTTACCTGGGACCAGAGAGCAGCCAGAGTGACCTGCCTGAATCTTAGGTAAAGGACATCCTTCTCAAAGTATGGTGTCCTGCTAGACTCCAATTCCATTACAGGGCAGATCCAAGAGCTTGGGTACAAAAGTTCAGGAACACTTTCATCTCCAGAGGAAGATCCCAACAGAGTTATCCAAATTATTGAACACATCAGCAATGTGGCCTGAGCAAAAAGGTCAGTGGGTCAGAAGTTAGCACATGCTTACAGCTGGGACTGATGTCACAGGCATGGGTCCTTCCCTTCTTGATTTTTTTGATGTTTGTACACTTACCCTATTAATCTCTTTTGGGGTAGTTGTGGGAGGCTGAAATATGCTGACCTTTCTCACCCACCCAGTGAGCAGTGAAACCAAGAAATTGTACCTTTTAATTGTGTACCTCCTATGTGTCGACACCGATCTGAGCTCCTAAGTGTATTATCTCATTTAATCCTCAGAAAACCCCTCAGAGTCAGGGAGACCAAAGAGGAGACTCCCCTGCCCTAGCTGTGCAGTGGAGGGGAATTTGGTCCAAGTTCAGTGACCAACTGGGGAGGGAGATACAACCATTTGTGCCTCTGATCTTGGTTAGGGGTAGCATGAGAGAGGCTTTGCTGTCATGGGTTGAGGACAACATTTGTGTCATGGTGCAACACCAATGAGTTCAACTCTAAGATTATGTATTACTGGGATTATGGGTATGGCCTTCTAATTTGGGATTATTACTATACAGGCCCTGCTATCTCATGGATGGTATAGTAGCCAGTGGGGGAATTAAGGGAGGTGTCTGGGGAAAGTTCCTTTACAATTTACCCATTAATAAATTCTCACTTTATACCTGCCATGTGCCAGGCACTGCACGAGGCACTGAGAATAAATTGATGAGCAGATCAGATGTGGCTCCTGTCCTCAGGGAGCTTACCAGCTAGCAGGGGGAGACAAGCGATGATGCAGCAGGGACAAGGCCATGTGCTGTGTGCTCTCTTGGGGAGAGGGGGACACAAGGTCTGCAGGAGCTCAGGGTAGTGGTACCTAAGCCAGGTGAAGGGCATGGAATCACCTTCCACAGGAGGAGACATCTCAGCTAAGACCTAGACTCCATTCCCCCTGCAGCCTCCCTCTCTAGCCCTGTCCTGGCTCCTGAAATTGAGCTACGCTTCAGAAAAAGCAAAGCTCAAGTTAGAACTTATAGGAAAGCCAAGTGCACTGGGGATGACTCTGGGTTCTGCAGTTCCCCCAGTTGACTGAGAAACACAGAGTGCCTTGACTGCTCTGTGACCCGCCGGCTGCCTGTTTTCCCCTGAAGGCTTGAACCCAAGCTGTGGACTTGAACATTCCCCAGGCACTGATAAAGTTTTTTACATTGATGCTATAGAGCTAGGGCTGGGTCTGGAGCTCATAGACCCCTTGAGCCCATTGTCCAGACTGGGTCACAAACCCTTCACATGCAGGTCTATGAGCTAGGTAATAGGAAAAAGGTCCTTGGAGCTGTGGGTGAAGAAATAATAGGCTTTATTTCTAAATGCAGGCTCTGTTGACCAGCAGTTCAGAGCCGCTGCCTCACACACTGAAGAGCACACAAAGTAGCAACAAGCCAAAAGATAAATGGGCACATGTGCACTAACTCTACTCCCACACAACTTGTTTGCAAAGGATGTGCTGCACC